GTGCAGCCGAGATAAAATGCGTGACGACACAAAGACAAACAAAATGTAATTACACAACACAAACACAAGAATAAAAGGGACACTCTCTCGTTTAAATGTGTGTTTGAATTATGAGAGCAGGCGAGGGAGACGAGCAGAGAATTCGTGTGTGTGACGATAAAACAAACCGCTCAAACAATATCATCTCTCTCTCGGCGCGCAAAGGATAGAAATAAAGGGACAAGCGCAAAATAAATATATAAACGAAAGACGAATCCGGCTCTAGTCAAACACAAACAGGAAATAAAAGATGAAGGCATTAGAGATGGAAAGAAAGAGCGCGCGGTAACCAAATGTGCGTTGTGTGCAAACACACTTCTTGGTGGTTGGGAAAACAGCCGTACTCGCATCAAGCACGATGACAACCGAAAAGAAAACGCGCACACACGTTGCGAGCAGAAGGGGTTATGCTCTCGGACGCACCCCAAATACTAATATTTGATGCTCGAATTTTCAAGATGTGCAGCGCAGTGCAACTTTGGAGAGGAAAACTTTTCAACATCCCATTAGCGCGCGGCTGCTGCTGAAATAACAAAGAGAATAACCATGGGAAATAACTTCTCCCTGCCTTGAGAGCCGCCGTTTGAAAAACAATTAAATCATTTGTGAATAATTAACGTTCGGCGAGAGGCGGCGGGCCTGCGTCGGATGATTATTATTCACAGACTGCGCCAGAAGTTCCGACTTGTTGACCCTCTTTTTGGCAACTGCGAGAGGATCGATGTGATGCTACGCAAGTCGAATGCAAACAAAATTAAACTTGTTAAATTTCTTTTTGACTATATTTTTTTCAACTGAACCTAAACAAAATTCATATTTTCTCAAGCTTTGATAAACAAAAACTAAATAAATAAATTTCCTCGCTTTGTAAGTTATAAACACAAATAATAAAATCAAAGAAAATATGCGCTTTATCTTTGTTGAAGAAAAGCAGTTTAAAAAAATTAACCAAGGATAAAGTTGGTTGGGAGACCCGCATTGCCCCTAATTTCAAAACTCCTAAATGTTTCTAAAATTATTTGCCCTAAAATATTTCCCCTAAAATATTTGTCCTAAATTATTTTTTCATTTCCCATAAAATGCATTTACCCGAAAATGCATTTGTCCTTAATCTGCGAAATTAATAAACAAAGCTTCATCAATTTTCTACCATTTAAACTCTAAATATCCAGTTCTGTATAATATCTGCGAGCAAACCACTAATTCTTTTTAATATTTTTTTGAATTGTGCATTTTAGAGAATAAAAATATATTTTAAAGCTTGTTTGAATTGTGCAAAATAGTGTTTAGTTTTTGTTTTTAGTCTATTTTTCCGATGAAAGATGAAATAGTCAGTTTTTATACAATTTTGTTTTTCCCCTATCGATGAAGGTTGACAAAAATTTATTAAAGGTTAACTAGAAGTGATCAGAATGGGCTGTCAAAGATTTTTTTACTTTTAGGGCAAATGTTTTTAGGACATTTACTTTTTAGGGGATTTGGAGTGAAAAATTTAGGACATTTCATTTTAGGGCATTTGTTTTTAGGGCAAATGAAGATATTGGTTTTAGGACAAATGAATTTAGGGGCAATAACGGCGACTCAGTTGGTTTTATCACTTATATATATTATGAAAATCTCCTCAGGTGCCAACTTCTTCTCTTCTCTTAAAAAAAGTAAGAAAAAATTAATCACAATTATAAATATCTTCATTAAAATATTTGACGTTAAAAGTAAACTCAAAATTATCTTCTTACTGTTTATTTTTTTTTCTTTGAATCAAAAAATTATAAAAAAAAACATACAGGAATTTTCTTCATAAGACTGACCAAGCCTTTTTCGAAAAGTTTTGGACACGGTGGCGTGTCTCCCGTGTCTTGGTTGGCATTTAAATGCGAAAGGTGAGATTAAAGATGCAGCCGAGACACCAGCTCAGTTGGTTTTGATATCAAACACACGCTCTTCTCTGGCTCGCTCTGATGCTCCTCTGGTCTCATCAAAGCAGAGCGAGTCGAGGGAAATGTATGTTCACACTGCTGCTGCGGTCACCCACTTGCTAAAATATTCATCGAGTTTGTTATTCGTCTCTCTGCTGCTGTGTCGTGTCTCTTCAGATAGATGGTCCTTTGCATATCGCCGGCGCCTCGCACTAGGCCAAAATAAAGAAAAAAGATGTGAAAAGACGCGCCGCCGCCGCCGGCTGGACGGATGGAGAGGCGACGTGCAAAGGCGGAACACACTTGTCTCCGTCTATATGCCTAGTTCACTTTTTTGCTCCTGTGTTTCCACTTTGTTTATTCTTGTGTTTAGACAGAGAAAAATGTCAGTGGAACATGAAAATTTATTGATTTCAAAAACAAATAAAAAATTTAAATTTAATTCATTATTATTTTTCTTCCTAAAAGAGCAAAGTTGCATTTTCAAACCTCTGATTTTGATTAACTTAAAATAGTAATTAAATATATGTTTTACCTTGTGAGCTATTATTGAAAAAAAATTTAAAAAATCATACACCTTTAAAATAATTTGTAAATAAATTGTACATAACTTATTATTATTTTAATTAATTGTTTTGCTCTGCTTAAATTGCAAAAAATCATGTACATAAAATTAGTGAACAATGGAATAATATCAGTCATGCTTTTAAATATTTTGAAATTTATTCGAGCAAATTACATGCAAAGATCAAATAAAGTTTTTGATTGATTTGAGCTCAAAAATATTGATTTTCAGCAAAAAAGTTTAAAGATTTTTAATTTTTGGTTGAATTTGTGAATATCGAAGGCACAAAAATTCTCGGATTTTTCATTTTTACTTATATAAAATGTAATTTGAGTCTTTCTCTAGTTTTGCTATGCATGACGCTAAAGGCGACTAAATTATTCCATCAGTGCGAAAGCGTCGAGGGACGTGCTGATGAATTCAGCCTAGGCCACCAGCCTCATTTGTGTAAATTTCTCAAGTTGGCTGTTCGCAAAATGCAAAATACTGCCAGTCTCTCTCAAGCAAGACATTTGGCTTTTGCTCGGTTCTCTCTCTGATATGCATGAATTTCATCACAAGAGAGTAATTTATTTTTTCCACCGCCGAGCAAAAAAGAAGTCACGAATTTGCATATTTTCCAGCAACGTGGTTTGTTACACTTTTCCGAGCTTTTTCTGCATGCACGAGTGTGCAGCGGGCGACAAGTGAGATCTCGGAAAGGTGTTTGCTTGTTTGTTTTGCGGAGAGCGCTCGGCAAACACATGCTAAAAAAAATATACAAACTCTCGACGAGCAGCGAATGTATGCGCGCGGTCGGGACCAAGTGGTTGTTGTTTTGCACCGAGGCAAATTGAATGCGAGTGGCCGGGGCGAGAGAGAGAAAACGCACCCTTAATGACGACGACGTCCTTTCTATGCTTTCTCTCTCACCAGCAGAATGCGCCGCAATCAAGCCCGGCTGCGCCACTTCAGGCTCCTCTCGTTGTATGAATATTTTATTGTGAAATCCGCAAGAGCTGCAAATTGAGACATTTTTCATGCAGCACTTCTTCTTCTTCTTCCTTTCTTATACTTTCGCTATTGAATTCTCCGGCGGCTTCTGCAGCCACGCAAATCCCACGAGACTGCTCGAACGAAAATCTGCGTCTTTTTGCCGCAATCAGCTCTGCTCTCTTTGCATTTCGAGCGAGAGTTTTTCATCTGACGCGGAGAATATGTAATTTTCCCTCGGTACCTTCTCTTTTGAATGCCGGCTGTGCGGAATTACATCTCACGGCAGTTTGATGGCTGCACCAGAACTTCCGCATTATGCAACCATAAAGATTTATGGTTTGAAAATTGAAAAAGTGAAATTATTGAATAACATTAAATAGAAGGCCAAAGAAATTATTTTGCATAAATATATACATATGTATATATAAGATCTATCATTAGAATTGTATTTAATTCTAATTAAGCTAGCTTAAAATATAAAGGATTATAATGTAAAGAATTTACTTATTTTGCAATTTTTCAGTTACCTATAGAAATAAAAAATAAAATTAATGAAAACTAGTTTTACAAAAATTATATAGCTTTATTTAATTTAATACTGTTTTATTAATAAAAAAGATAAAATAAAAAAATATTATTATTGTAATATTAAATTAATAATATTTAATATTACAGAGCATAAAAAATTAACTTTCTCTCTGGACATTAATAGCGAGCGACGTGCAAAAATATTTAAACCATGTGCGACCTTAATTAACTCCAAAAGTGCCAGCGAGAGAGAAACGTTTATCGCACTCGGGGTTTTACTTATTTTTATGAGCCATAAATTTTCATGCGAGCAACCTCGTAAAACGATCAGATTTTTGCTTTTTTTCCATCCTAGCTCATTTGTATTTCTAAGCGCATCATATTTTATATTTTTACTGCCACACAGAAATAGTCAGCGCAGCACGCGCAAGGGATTCTCCATTTCGGAATATATAATTTAATTCTCCTTCGACGCACATCCAACTTTTGAGGTGATTAACTCCGGCAGATAATATGCGCGAATAATATACGCACATTTCCGAACACGCGGCGGCGCACACTAATGAGCACCAAATTCCCCTCTTTGGGATTCATTAATAAAATGGCAAGCGCTCCAAGGTGGTCCCCGAAAGTTTAACGACGCGGGGGCGCAAAAACAGGCACGGAGGACAGAAAAAAAGAGTATATATGACGAGCATACCAAGCGTGCTATGCTTTTCTCGCTAATAATTAATTAGTTTTCGGCGGCAGAATTAATCTGCGCGATCGGAGATGCTCTGATTAGCCGCGGCCGGTGCCTTATAAGAGCATCGGTTCAAGAAGAGCTAGGGAGGAAAAGAAAAGGAAGAAAAAAATTGAAGTCACCCACTCGAGAGGAGCCAGACCGTCGGCGCAGAGATGGATGGCGGGCGATAAGAAAGCCGACGGCGGCCGGAAATATAGCCGCGCAGATAAAGCAAGAACAAAGTTGTACTTACTTGGAGCAGGGCATTGTTGCTTGGTGAAGATCGCGATACGCAGCGGACAGGGCGTCTCCTGCAAAAATTTGTAACTTTTGTTATAAGACTCGGTGAAATCAGAAAGGGAGAGCGTGCAGAAAAATGACGCAATTTTCATCCCTCGTCGCCATCATCCCCCGTCATCCCTTTATTCTTTTCCTTTTTTTTTGTTAATTACCGCGCGCCACCAGAGAGTTCACTTTTGCTTGGTTGGCTAGGCCGAAAAGCTGATAAGATAAAAGAGCGCCTCTTGGTCTTTTAATTATTATTTGAGCTGGAGGGAAAGGGATGCTCTGCTTTTGAATTAACATGCAAAACATAAAAAAAATGAGAGGGAGATAGCGGCCTAGTCACACACATTCGTATAGCAACCCCTGTATAGGTCGTTATGCGGCAACTTGCGTGCGTTGAGCCAAGCAGAAGAAAACTTAATTCTTGAAATCACACTCACAACATGTCCGAAATGATCACAATGATGATCCAGAATGCATTAGTTCATTATTTATAAATATAAAAAATTTTATGTAAATTTTTATTTTTTTACAATTTCATGGAATTTACATATTTAATTATCAAAGATTTATTAAACACAAGTGTTTACAATACATAGAGTTATTTGTAATTATAACCTTTTTTGCAATATCATAAAAAGTTTTGTTAATATATTGGAATGATTATAAAATATTGTACATTTATTTTTTATTTCTTCAAAACTGTTGTTAGTGTACGTGTTTTTTTCTGTTCTAATTAGTGTAGATTAGTGTCTTGGTTTGTGTTGTAGTGTAAAGCAGTTCCAGGGTTTAATTTTTCATATTTTTTTTAAGTCGTTTCACTGAAACTGTGCGAGAAAAACTTTGCTTTGAAGAATGGAATACATACTAAAATTTTGATCTTTAATTGACGTTTTTTATTTTTTGAGACACAAAAAGGTTTTTAGCGATATAAAATTAATTTATTAATTAAAAGTCAAAATTTTTGTATGTTTGTATTACATTCTATAAAGCTAAGTTTTTCTCACACAGTTTCAGTAAAACCACGTAAAAACGTCTTATAAAATTTGTTTTTAATCATTTACACAAATCTCTTTATTCATATATACAAGTTTAGTTCAATTTATTGGTAATACTATTACATGACCTCACAATGAATCATTCGAAATCCGTTATCGCTATGAAAAAAGACGTCAATTACATAATATTTAAAATAATTGATAATGTGAGCAATTAAAAATTATTTTAAATGAATTACTGACAATTATAACACATTTTACAGAGACAGAAGATATTTACAAAGAAAATTTATACATATTTATACTTTTTATTCACTTCTCGAATTTTGAGGTTTTCATTATATAATTTTTGAATATTTGGGTGATGTGTCTCGTTATAGGCAGAAATTACCTTGTGGTATGAAAATGAACCTAATTTACAACTTTTATTTAAATAAATTTCTTTTTGTATTAAATAATTATATATCTTGAAAGCACAGAGTTTAATAAATTAATTCAGTTACGTGCACTCGCTTTTTCACTTTTACTTCTCGGATTGAAAATATCAAAAGTAATATAGAAAAAGTAGAATCAAAGACAGCTCTTTTCCAGGTAGAAAACTCGCCCTAGCTTCTGCAGCATTTTACGTGTCTCTCTGTCTCGATCTTTTCATAAAAAGCGTCTATATGCGGGTTTCCAAGCTTCAACTTCTCAGGTTACAGGGTGAATGGGGGCGCGTCGCTTCTTGGGTTACCTCGGTTTTCATCACCCAAATGGACGCGACACGCAAACATGCATATCCATCGGACCGCATTGAAGAAGCAAAAAAAAATGCTCCCGTCTTTATCCTGCAAACTCTGAGCAATTATGGTGCGCGCAGCTCCTCTTTCAAGAAAAATTCCACTGGCATAATATTCATCGTCAGATTGCATCACTCAGCATTATTTATTAACTACATAATAATCCGAGCTTCAAATTACTAGCGCAGCTAACAGCGTGTCATCGGATGAAGACGTCTTCGTCCTAATTTGACGGCCGCAAGTGATGTAATAAGATAATTGGTGCACGCAGATCTCCCTCTCTATCTGGTTCTTGATAATAAATTGGAGGAATGGAAATTAAGAGAGGCGGCCGCAGTGGTGCTCTTTTCTCCTCTCCTCAATGGAGCGCCTTTGTGCCTAGACACAAAAGTCTCGTTGTGACAATCAGCTGCTTTAATACTTATCGCCTGCACACGCAGTGATGAGCTCTAAACAAGCGCGCAGCCTCCGAGAAAAGTCGCCTCTTTGTGTGTTGCGAGAGAGACGAGGAAAGGTGCCGGCCACATTTCTCACTCTCGAAACGACCTAATAGATAAAGCATCAGGGCTTTTATCACACCCCTATGCCACGCCATTTAACACGCACACCGCTTAAAACAATTCCCAGCCGACAAAACACCCCGTGGGACTCTCTGGAGATAGTGAAAGAGAGGGAAATGTGAACGCCCTCGGATGAATGGACCCTTTTAATTGTTTGTATGTACCTGAATGGCCTGTGATGTTTGAGTCTGGATTGTTTGTTTGCTTTCTGAACTATCTGGATTTGGGGAATGGTTTGTGGACAAAAATATATAATTTCTTTTAAAATATCGTAATTTTTGTTATTTGCAAAGTTTCATTCAATCAGAAACATAATATGTATAAAATGCGAATATTTATGCGAAAATAGATATTTTATAATACAAAGGAATAAAATAGATTTAAATTTTACGGCAAAAATACTGTTAGTTTCTATTAAATTTGATGTTTAAATTTTTTTATAAATTTTATTGTTATTTGTTATTTTATTGCATTATTTTAATTGTTAAATAATTTTCTTTTTGAATTTTTATTATATTTGATTTTTCATATTTTTAGTAATATATTTAAAAAAAATATATAATTATAAGTTGCTTTGCTTTCTACTTATAAGTGGTGGTTGATAAACAATAATAAAAGCGCGTTCCCCTTGAATACCCCATGATTTAATGGTATAACAGTAAAACTATGATTGTATTTAATGCGATGAATATTACGGATTCAGAATTATATCCAATAAAAATTAAATTTCTGCATGATATTCGTCCGTAAAAGAATTAATTTCATTGCCTGAACGAATGGCTGGCTAGAAACTGCTCACATAAGCCTCTCTTAATGCATTGATTCGTTTTCTCAAATTGCTGCAGCACATGTGCAGAACATACATGAGACGCGAAAATGACGAAACTCGTGCATAAACTGACGCCTTGAAAGCGTTTTATGGAGGCGCATAAAAGTGTCAACAACGTTAACACATGCATACATATACAGTGAACGTAAATTTTTAATGGCGTGTCACGAACTCTCTCCCGCGCGAAAGGCCTTTTATAATAACTTTCGGCTCATGAATATTAAGGGCCACAAGAACTTCTGCTTCTTTTCTTTCCAGCGATATTTTTCTCTTTCTCTTATTCGTCTGAATTATTGCGTAAATTTTTTTGGTCATCATTAGTCAACAAAAAAGTTTGCTGAAAAACACACTTCTGCACTCAGCAGCATCTCAGGATGTGAAATAAATAAAGCACGCGCAAAACTAACTCGGCGGTGGTAAAAAAAAAATGGGAAAGAGGGCCGCTTAAAAAATTTATGCAAGTGCTGGTGAGCGGGGAAATAAATTTCACCCAGCCGAAAAAGTAAACTTTAAAATTCCCAAGGCGAACTAGTGAGAGAGTTGCGTTGTAAAAATTATACAAATGATTTATCACCAGTAACATGGAGAGGGTTCAGTGCAGTTTGAATGCAAAAGATTCATGGCACTCTGATTTGATTCTATTGGAGGAAATGATTTACTGTATTTTTAACTTCCTTAATTTACAAATTTTAATATTCACCAATAAACAGAACAAATGATCTTAATTAATGATTTTTTATTCTATTTTTTATCACATTTTTTTTCAATTTTTATAAAAATATAATACTTGAAATTATTTATTCAAGAGTTGTGAATTAACAAAATTAATGGTGTGAAAAACTTTAAAACTTTAATACAATTAATACGGCAAAAGAAAACATAAAATTATGGTATCAAACCTTAATTCCAGACTGAAAAAAATTTGCAGTTCCAGCACACACAAAAATTAACCCAAAATTAAATGAAAACCTTTTTATTTTTAATTTGCAGCACAAATAAAAATAAAAATAGACATAATTATTGAAATAAAAAATTATGCAGTAAATCCTTAACACCAAAAGATATCAAAATCTGACCTTCTCCTACCCTAACCAAATCCACATCCTTTCTTAATCTTTTTTCTCTCTTTTAGTTTTCAGCTTGTTTGTCATCATCGCGTGGACCAAAATTAAGGATATGCCAGCAAAAAATGATGATTTTTTAAATAAAGTTGAACCCAAAAATAAAATAAAAAAATAAAATGGGTGGTGCTTTCTGTACCACCAATAAAGGGCACAGGCCGACAAGACTTTGTCTTGACCTGACCCTAATTAAAAAAAAAAAAATAATAATAATCAGTTCATCAAATTATGAAAAATATTGAGCCATATATAATAATTTTTATGTTTTCCATTTCTTTTCCCTATAAAAGGCCAAACACATTGTATATGTAATGCATTATTACATTTAATATTATATTAAAAAGTGAAAAAAACATTCAACAACATATTTAAACTGCAATATATGTAATGAAGGCAAAACTTTTATTTTTTCTTTAACCTAAAGGAAAACTCTTCAATCTGACAATTAACCCATTAATCTGCTGGAGTGCTGGTCGGGATTTGCAATTCCAGCGGCGAACAAAGGCGGATATTTAAAATATTCATTTGACTCGCCGAGTCCATTAGTTCCGAGCTTTGTGTTGTGTGTTTTGTTATTTGCCTAAGCGCTGCACGCGCGGCTCTTTCAAGATCCGCGTGTGCTCTTCGTAATCGGATTAATCCAAGGGAGAGACACTCGGGAGTGGAGCAGAGAACACAACAACAATGTGCACGGCAACGGCCTTCCCGGCCGCTCCAACTTCGCACACTCGGTGATCAA